TATATATATATATATATATATAAATAATTAAAATAAATATATAATAAATAAATAAAGTAAAATAAATTAAAATAGTACAGTAGAGGAATGAAGATGAAGATCAACTGAAAGAATAAAAAGGCAGTGGGGAACAAGCTTTTTTTAGGGGGCATGCTGGTTTAATTCTAAGATTTAGATAATGTATTTGGTAAACATCTATAAAAAAAATAGGTAAAAGAAAAAAATCTCCACAAACCTGCAGATTATATTCGCCATTATTTGCATCGCCAACAATTGAATATCGTGGGACTCCCGACAATTGAGGATCTTTGTCTGATCCAAGTATGTGACTATCCTTTAACCAAAAGAGTTCACCTATCTTGTTGGTCACTACACATTTCAGAATGACTTTTTCCAAGCCAATAACTGCCTGTGTGCTCTGTGGTTCTAGAGAAAATTGTTGAACTGCTGATGCTGTTTGAGGAAAAAGAAGAAAAATAATACAGGTAATAGTAATATAAAATATTAAGCGCAATTGGTCATGGGCCTAGTTGAGTAACTTGGAAATTTTCACAAGTTCTCTGGAACCCCGGGCAGTATCAGTTTATTATCACCTCTAATGTTAAATTGGAATGTATAATCTGAGTCAAAATTACCACACCGGAGCTGCCGAGAATGCATGGCCCTGGGGGAAATGCATCTATTGGGTCCCCTATGTTGAGTTCCGGGAGCCATTTATTGTTATAAAACGACAGGACGAAGTTGGGGTTCTTGAAGATGTGGCTATGAGGTATTTACTGTAGATGTCAAATTTAAAAGATGGTTGTCAAAAATGGATGACGTTCTTTTGTCACATGTTTACATTATATATTTTTTTCGCCTAGTGCTCTGACTGTCCCCTTTTGGCAGTGTTGGCTACCACCATATACTTGGGCACACAGTACACAGTGGCTATAAATGGGGCTTAACATTTTTTTTTACAGCCTGTTGCAAGATAGAGGACTTATTCAACAGGTGTAGAGAAAGGAAGCGTTGTTTAAAGATAAGGGAAATATGTAAGTAAAAGAGAGACAAGATTAGAAAAATATTTGTGCGATAGTTAAATAAATCCCCCCAAGAATAGTGAGGAAAGGGAAAGTATCTCAGCTTATGTTACAGTACTGTAGATTAAGATAATAAAAATCAAATAAAATTTCCAGCAATGAAAATTCATATTTCGATTATGTTAAAGTAGTATTTCACTTACAAACAATTCGTTTCATTTATCTATCTTCCCCTCCTCTGTTATTTAGATGGGAGTCATCAAAAAAATATAACAAAGAGAAATAAGATACCGTATTTGCACTTGATTGTATGACAGCAGTTGGGGCACAAGTGATGGGGGGGGGGGGTGTGCGTCAGGAGCAAAACACAATTTGTCATTAAGAAAATTGAATCCTATGTTAGTTTTACAGGTTTTTGAGAGACACTGAAATTTATAAACTACCAACAAGCCTTTCTAATCCTTAAGTTGTTAAAGCTTTTGTTGGCATCCACTGGCCTGGGTTGCTTGTGTTTTTATCGGGCACATAAGCCTCACCCCCCATCTTGGCGCCACCACTGTATGTTGTGAATAATATTTGCACTTTTCACGGGCTATGATATTGCTTTTACGCTTGGAACTTGAGACATGAAATCCATCAAATTTTGAAATATCAAAAAAAAAAAAAAAAAAAAAAAAAAATTA